ATTCGAGACAAGTATGGTTTGAAGTGTGACAAACTACCCACAATTTTGTATGAAGATAATGCAGCATGCATAACCCAATTGAAGGGAGGATTCATAAAGGGGATAGGACAAAGCAAATTTCACCAAAGTTATTTTTCACACATGATCTTCAAACGAATGGTGATATCAATGTGCAACAGATCCGTTCAAGTGATAAAATGGCTGATCTGTTCACCAAATCTCTACCGACGTCAACCTTCAAGAAACTAGTGTATAGGATTGGGATGTGAAGGCTCAAGGATATGAATTGATGCTCTCATCAGGGGGAGTTAATACGCGTTGTACTCTCTTTCCCTTACAAGTTTTTGTCCCACTGGGTTTTCCTTGCAAGGTTTTTAATGAGACAACCAAAAGACGTATTTCTAAACATGTGTACTCTTTTTCCTTCCCTAGAATTTTTTTTCCATAGGGTTTTTTCCTAACAAGGTTTTAACGAGGCACATTATCTATGGACATCCAAGGGGGGGTGTTATAAGAAAAATCAAATTATGGTAGATGTCTACTCTTCCTCCATGATCTTCTCAAATGCTTAATGACATATTCAATGACATATTTCTATGCTTAATGACATAATTAATGACATATTTTTCTTCACTTTTCATGCCTATATAAAGGCCTTGTAATAGATAAGAAAATACACACAATTGAAGAAGAAAATCTCTTCCTTTTCTCTATCTCTATTTCTTGTTCATGTTTTACTAAATTGCTTTTATTTCATAACAACATGTCTTATTCATGTTTTACTAAATTGCTTTTATTTTATAACATAATTATAATAATACGCGCCTTTTTTAAAAATTTATTTTGTCACATCAGCTTTTGGGTAGGTATTAAATTTATTTCGGACAAGTATAGAGAGGTACTGGGACGTCCACAAAAGTTAAGTGTAAAACTAATTTTTCGGGACAAGTACATGATGCATGCTATGTATTTTTTCTTTATTTTTTTGGTAATCATATTCTATATGTATGCGACCGTTAGATAGGTGTATCTTGATTTACATATGCCAATGGTTTGAGTTAAGATTTCTTCTCGTGTAGTGCATTTTTCTTTTTAATTTAAATGACAACATGTTTTATTAATGGCTAAACCCCTTTATTTGCAAACGACGTCGACTTTCGTGAATACTATAAAGTTTCATGTAATATTGATATGTCTTAAAAAATTATACTTTTACAAGTTTTGCTTACTTATACATCATCATATGTTAGAAATGCTAATAATTTTTGTAAAATGTTAGGTTCGAATTTAGATTGAGAAAAGTTCTTACAAAAAAATAAATAAATTGAAAAAGATGAAAGGCTAGCCCACGACTCACTTAGAGATGGGTTGGGCTCGCTATTTTAAGGTCATTCGAAAATGAAGTCGGCCCGTCCCAGCCTATTAAATTTCATGGTTTTTGAGGCCTGGGCTAGGTTAAGATCGACTAGCTTATTTGGACCGCTCTATTTAATATTGTTGTTGTTGTTATTATTATTATTATTATTATTATTACTTTTAAGCTCTATTTTTCAAAAATACTCCGAAATCATTTACGTGCAATTTTTCCCAATAATTTATTTGATAATTATTAACAACTATACACGTTAGATCAAAAGTATATGTATTATAAATCTAATAGCTTGTTTGGATGGTTGTTATGTATCGTTTCATAATGTATCGTACAATATTGTATTGTATTATACTGTATCGTTTTGATGTATATAATGTTTGAATATATTGTATTATTTGTCGTCATTTCATGATGTCATGCACCAACAAATATGAAGAATAAACTTACAATATTATATGTATAAAAAGTAAGGTACGTGATAAAATTATTATATAAAAAGGTAGGTTAAAAGATAACATAGTATTATTTTATAATAAGAAACGGTGAGATAAGAGAAAAAAATAAGGTACCGTTGCGACCATACCAAATCGTTCGTTCCATAAAGTGAGATTTTTCGTTTTAACGATACGATACAATAACATTTAAGTAACAATCGAAACAAATATTATATTTAGGTGTCGTTTGGTAGGGTGCATTAGCTTTTGGTATTACTAATCCCTTGCGCGGTACACTTTTTTAACATATGTATTACTAATGCAAGTATTAGTTATACAACATATTTGGTATTATCCTATGTATAACTAATGCATAACAACCCTTGGTATTAGCAATACCAAGGCTATTAATGCATGCATGCATTAGCATTGTTAAAGACAGAATTATCTTTAAAGTCCCTTAAAGCTAAAGAATATGGAGGGCATTTTCGTAAACAACTAATTTTCTTAAAAAGGATGAAATACATTTTAATTTTTAATACACCGTATCAAACAATAAATAAGAAATAATCTCTGCATAACTAATGCTTGTATTACTAACGATGCATTACTAATCCCTGCATTATTAATATACTTTATTCAGCACTATTCTTATGCACCCATCCAAACGACCCCTTAAAGTAACAATCTTCTATATATAATAGGAGAGGCAAAGACACCACATTATGCCAAGTGCCAACATGATAATAAGCCACATGATAATTTTAAGACAAAATTAGTTAGATTGGGTAATAATTATTTTTTTAATGCATTATTTATTATTAATAGTTAGTTACTCTTTTTGAATTTAATATAGAAAAAAGTCTAATTTGAATTTGAAATAATTACAAACAACATAGTAAAAAAATATAAAAATCAAAACTTTATATCGAAAATAAAATAGAAGAAAAGTCTAGTATGATAAGGTAACAACCATCCAAACAAGTTGTAACTAAGTATTATGTAATCATCTTTTTCACGCACATTTGAGAAGATAATCACTATTTTTCATTTATCTTCTATATGTAATAGGAGAGGCAAAGACACTATAGTATACCAAATGGCAACATAATAATAAGCCATTTGGTAATTTTAGGACAAAGTTAGTGACGGGGGAGCAATCTGCATGACCCAAAATTCAACTAGTCGTGATAGCACCTAACCCAACCCACCAGGTAAGCCAATTAATTATTAACCAATTCCAATATCAATTAATAAAGCAATCAAGTAAAGAAATATCTAAATCCGATACATTTCCCAAAGACTGGTAGTACAAATCATGAGCTTCTAAGAATAGATTTTACAAAGTTGGTATGAAGTAAATACATCATCTGTTTGAAAAATTCATAAACAAAGTTTTATGAATCTAAGGCTACCAAGAACAAGAGGCAGCTACAACCGGAACGCAGGTACGTCTTCAATTTCAGCTCTCGTCGAGTACAACAACATCAATATCTAATATCTGCACGCAATTAAATTTTCAACACACTTCAAAACTTATATCATTTTTTAAGACAAACGTGTTAAGAATGGGGTAGAAGAGACACTTTTATGATTAGGATAAATGACATTATTTTTAAAATTCACAAAGTTTTCTTATTTTCAAAAAAGCCCCCCTCCCCCCTCCTCCCCCTCCTCCCCCTCCTCCTGCCACTCATCTTCCTCCTCTTGTTCTTCCATCTCGCAACGCTCATCTCTATCCCCTGTCACTCATAATCCTCAAACATTTAGTAAAGATGTTTCAAATATCTAGAGAAATATTTCAAACATCTATTGAGATGTTTCAAACAGCTGCACACATCTGTGAGGACGTTTGAAATACTTGTGAAAAAAAAAGATCAATAAGAACAACACTAAAAAAAAGAAGGAAGCAGAAGAAAAATACCGATGGATGTTTCAAACATCCCGGGAAATGTTTCAAACATCTAGAAGAAAAAAAAAATGAAAAATAAGATGAAGAGGGAAAGAACAAAATAAAGAATAAGAATAAGAAGATGGCATGGTCAAACCAGCAGCAACAACAACAACGAAAGTTGAAGAGAAAGAAAAAAAGTAAGGAAGAAGAACGAGAGAACGAGGAAGAGAAAGAAGAAAAAAGAAAGAAGGAGAAAAAGAAGTAAAGAGGAGAAAGAAGAAGGAGATGAAAATTTAAAATAATTTGAATGGGTATGGTTTTTTAAATTTTTTGAAAAATTTAATATTTACCCACAACTTTTGTTATTTTTAATCTGACCCCCGAACCTCCTTAATTACACATTTTCTGTTAACCAAATAATGTGTCCTATATTCTAACACAAGACTTCAAAAGTCTTTTTACTACATTTTTCCTAGTTAGGTTATGTAATAATTAGTTTATTTTTGAGTTTAAATTTAAAAAAAAAATAAAAGTATGCATTATTTATTATTAATAGTTAGTTACTCTTTTTGAATTCAATATAGAAGAAAAGTCTAATTTGAATTTGAAATAATTACAAATAACACAGTAAAAAGTATAAAAATCAAAACTTTATATCGAAAATAAAATAGAAGAAAAGTCTAATATGATATAATACAAGAGGTAACAACCATCCAAACAAGTTGTAACTATACAACTTGTTTGGATGGTTGTTACCTATTGTATCGTATTGTTACTTTAAATACGCTGTTTGTTTTGATTGTTACTTAAATTTGATTGTACCGTATCGTTAAATCCGTCGTTACGTAACGTCAAAATGTGCGCTTTATGTAACGACCGATTTGGTGTGGTCGCGTCGTTACCTTATCTTTTTCTCTCAATTTCGCCCTTCATTATTATTAAATAATTTTACTTTATCATTTACCATTCATTTTTATATACCGTATCAAATTTTTATTTATTTATTTTATAATATTACAATTTTATTCTTCATATTGCTGGTGTGTGATATCATAAAACGACGACAAACGACACAATCTATCCAAACATTATATTCATCAAACAATACAATACAATACAATACAACATGATACATTATGAAATGATATGTAACAATAATCCAAACAAGCTCCAAGTATTTTGTAATCATCTTTTTTCACACACATTTGAGAAGATAATCACTATTTTTCATTTATGTGACTCGAATCATCCACTTAAAGAGTAAAGGCAAACATGCTTCACTAACTAATCAATACTCACTCTAGCAAGAAGATCCACAGGTTTACTTTCTTGAATTTGGTTACAATTTTTACAATAAAAGAAAAAAACGTTCCCAATTGATCTAATGCTCACATATGCAGTGATACGACGCCGTAAAATTCCCTTTAAACCATCGATAACCTTTAATTTAGGCGGGCCATTTGGCGCGGCACAGGGGAGCAGACCATTGGGATCCAATTTTGATTTTCTTCAACGGTAGGGTTCCCACTGTTCCTCGTCTCTACAACGGTAGAAAGGTAATCACTAACATCTCACTTCCACTCTCATAGTCGTGACAGACACACACCAATTAGATAGATGATACTAAGAACCAATGTTGTTGGAAAATTCCATTTTAGCCGAGAAAAATATAAACGATTATTGGGATGGGAAAACTTGAACCATAACATCTTGGCAATAATAGGACAATTATGAAAAATTGTAAATAAAAGGTATATTATGAGATTTTTTTTGTTAATTCAGTTCTTGATTGAAGTTAGTGAATTATTTGATTTTCAGTATTACTTAGAAGTGATTGCAGCATTGAATCAGAAAAACTAAATATTGAGAAACATTATTGACATTAAAGTAGTATAGTGTTTTTAAGTCTGTAAAACAGTCAATGTAGTTGCAAAAAGTTGTACTGTAAGTGTTTTTGGTTCAATGAGTTTTCTTTTCCTATGTTCGGATGATTTTGATTTGTTTGATAATAGTTCAATCTGGATTCTCTGACTTTTCTTTACTTCCATGCGACTGAGAATATATTCTGTTTTGTCTATACCAAGGACTTGCATGTGTACTGTCAGAGTGCAAGTAAATGGAGCCAGACCAAGTTGTTGCTGAATTGGTTGGAATGGGATTTGAGTTATCTGATGTTACAAATGCTATAGAAGCCGTGGGTCCGTCGATTGATGGTGCAATTGATTATCTCCTTGATGATTCTCGAAGAAACACTACGAGTGCATCAACTATTAATGCATGCATCACCAGCTGTGCTGGCACACTGGGAAAAAGAGCCTCCTCTTCGTCGTGTTCTGCAAGTAAAATGCGGCAACCCAGCATAAACGAATTCATTCAGTCAGCAGGCAGACCTAAAAGAAGCAAGACCATGAATAAGTTGGATACGTCTCAATTAGAAGTCTTGCAAAGAGATCCCGGAGGTTGTAATGTGCATCCTCCCCCAGAGGATACTGATCTGCACATTGCAACTGAAAAAGTCGTGTTGCCATATAATTACAAAGACGAAGAGAGCATTGGACCAGATTGGGAAAAGCAGGTTAAGAATTTGTTGCACAAGCACTTTGGATACTCATCCTTGAAGAATTTTCAGAGAGAAGCTCTCGCAACTTGGTTAGCTCATCAGGACTGTCTTGTTCTTGCAGCAACAGGATCTGGTATTGGCCCCTCACTTTTTTTTCCTTCGTTGCTATTGTCCCCTTTTTTATATCTTAATGTGATATTCTGTGTTCTGACAGTTACTTTTATGTAGGGAAGTCTTTGTGTTTTCAAATTCCTGCATTGCTGACTGGGAAGGTTGTCATTGTTATATCGCCATTGATTAGCTTGATGCACGATCAGTGCTTGAAGTTAGCAAAACATGGTGTTTCTGCTTGCTTCCTTGGATCTGGTCAAATTGATCGAAGTGTTGAACAAAAAGCAATGGCAGGCATGTATAGCATCATTTATGTATGCCCCGAGACAATTCTAAGGTATAGAGCATGTTACTCGAATTGTATTTCAAGGATAGCATTGGCTGTTGTTTGACAGATGAGTTGCTTATCTTTTCTTTCAGACTCATAAAACCCATCCAAGGCCTTGCAGAAAGCCGTGGAATTGCTCTATTTGCAATCGATGAAGTTCATTGTGTTTCTAAGTGGGGTCATGATTTTCGACCAGATTACAGGTTTATATTCTTTTTTTTTGTTTGATGAACCAGACTAATACTATTATCTGGAATTGGTCAAAATTTTCAGTAACTGATTAAGTCAGTGGATATAGATAAGTACTATAGCCTCTTGTCCTAGAGTGCGCAAAGTAAGAAGGATATTTTTATCCTTCAATACAGCATTTACATACCATATCATGCCAATTATAGTACTTGCAACAATTCACATTGTGAGTGTGTGTGTGTGTGTGTGTGGGGGGGGGGGGGTCACCTTCCGCATTCTGGTTCTATGTTTGTTCATGCACTTGGTTATCCAAATGAAGAATGGATGATGCACACAAACGACACAAATATCATATGATTGTTGAAAGCGGAAAATGCAAAAGAAGTTGTTAGTTCCATGGGTTTTATACAAAGAATAAAATACTGGCAAATGTCATTTTTCTACTTCTTCTGAGGTTGCCAACAATAATTTTTTTTTTTTTACCATTCGGTGCAACGTCCAATTGAAATGAGAAACTTTATTCAGAACACGTTACAAGAGTGCCAAACAATCTTTCTTGAGTTCACCACTGTCATCAGCCAAAGAATAGGATAATTCTGACCTTCCATTTGGTGTTCTTCTTCTTTGATTTCATCACATGAGTTCCTTGAAAATTCAACAGAAATAATTATAGGGTTTCCATAGTGCTAACTTTTTGATTGAGGGAGTTCTTATTTTGATGCTGAAACTCATCTGGAGGGTGATGTTCCGCTTTTTTCTATTCAGCCAGATGATATTGTCTTCTCTCCATCAACTCTTTCCAAGAAAGAGCTCCTTATCATCAGAAGCGAGTGAAGTAAGTATGAATAAAGTTAGTAGAGAGGTTAGAGAGGGTGGATTATCAGCATGAGTTTACCCCCTTTATCAGTATCACTTATTTCATCCTGAAAACTACTTCAAAGATTTATCTACAATTAGTTGCAAAAAGCACTGGTTTAAACCTAGTTTGTGAAATAAGGTGGCAGAGTGGATAAATTTCATAAATAAGTGGTAAATGGTTAGTGTTATTCAATCGCGAATGCTACTTTCACATTTGCTCATTAATCCCCATTTTTAGCCTAAGGAAGATGCAGACGGGCCAAGCATTTTGATGAAGCCACATTGCATCTTAAAATATGCAAGGGCTGAAATTTTGAGCCTCAGCAACATGCATAAGCATTCACTCGAAACTGCATGATATTCTTTATTATTCTTCATGCAGCAGTGTTGAAGACATAATTAGTAAATAAAAGTATGTTCTCTCTAAAAGCTTAGTTTTTTTAGATGAGATGGTCACACATTTCAACATGGTATCAGAGCAGGCAGAGGTCCTAGGTTCGAGTCTCACCACCACCCTATATCAAAAAGAATTTTCACGTGCTTGGCTCATAAAAAAGAATCAAGCCCGCGCATGAGGGGGCGTGTTGAAGACATAATTAAGCAAATAAAAGTGTGCTTTCGCTAAAGCTTAAGCTTTTAGATGAGATTATCACACATTTCAACAAACAAGAATGGTTCTTGCACTCGAAGCTCAAAGACATATGTGTTTCTGTTATTATTAACATGGAAACATCGATCTTTTTCTCCTTATTAATATTGTATCATACCATGACTGATTTCTTAAGTTCCTTGAGTTTGTTTATCAACTTATTGCAAAGTCTACTACTTTAGCATAATAGATACGATACATCATGCTTATAACTCATAAGATAAACATCATGCTTATGACTAGTCAAATTCTGATCTTTCTCTTCTCTAACTTCCATTCTAGCCAAGCAAAAGCTACAAGAAAATATTGACACAAATCTTCCATGTACGTAGGCGATTGTCTGTTTTGAGAGAGAACTTTAGAATGGATACCATGAAGTTTCTGAAATTTGACATACCGATCATGGCACTGACTGCCACTGCAACTACTCGTGTTCAAGAAGACATTCTGCAGTCATTGCACATGTCAAAGGCGACACAAATTGTTCTCACTTCATTTTTCAGGCCAAATCTTCGATTTTCAGTAAGTTAATCTACAATGTGTTTGGTACTCTTTTGGTTTGGTATTCCCTGTATGTTCTGCATCTGCCTTGCTGCACAATTTCAATTTTTGCTTTCTTGTGTATGAAGGGTGCTTTTTTTTCTTCTTCATATTTTTTTTTTGTGTGTGTGGGGTGGGGGGTTGCAAATTGTTTGACGATACACCTATTTATATAATATTGCGAATAATATTTACACCAATTAAACTTTCATGAAGCTAAATTCTTCAGCAAACTTATACTTAAATTGTGATATTTGGTTGCCCTATAATGTATTCACACTCAAGAACTAAATTACTATTTTCTTTGACCATATTTATTGTATTTTAAACTAGATCGTCAATCTTTGTGTCACTTTTGTTTGCTGCATAATACGACAACAACAACATATCCAGTATTATCCCACACCGTGGGGTTTGGGGAGGGTAGTGTATACGCAGACCTTACCCCTACCTTGTGAGGATAGAGAGACTGTTTCCAATAGACCTTCGGCTCAGGAAAGCATAAGCACCACATTAATGAAAATATAGACAAGGAGGGACAATACCAAAAATCCATATAAAAACAAAATAAAAACAACAAGACAGTAATGTGATCAACAATGAAAGAAACAACGGTTAGTCATAAAAACCTACTATCAACAGAAAGTAAGACTGCGTGCTAATACTACTGTTATGAACACTTTAGACTACCTACTCTACTATCCTAATCCTCGACCTCCATACCTTCCTATCAAAGGTCATGTCCTCGGTCAGCTGAAGCTGCGCCATGTCTTGCTTAATCACCTCTCCCCACTTCTTCTTTGGCCTACCTCTACCTTTCCGTAGGCCTTCCAATGTCAACCTCTCACACCTCCTCACCGGGGCGTCTGTGCTCCTCCTCCTCACATGACCAAACCACCTAAGTCGCTCTTCCCGCATCTTGTCATCAATAGGGGCCACACCCACCTTGTCGTGAATAACCTCATTTCTGACCCTATCTAATCTGGTGTGACCGCACATCCATCTCAACATCCTCATCTCTGCTACCTTCATCTTCTGGACATGAGCGATCTTGACTGGACAACACTCAGCCCCATACAACATTGTTGGTCTGACCACCATTCTGTAGAACTTACCCTTAAGTTTCGATGGCACCTTCTTGTCACACAAAACACCGGAAGCGAGTCTCCATTTCATCCATCCCGCCCCAATACGATGTGTGACATCTTCATCAATCTCCCCATCCCCCTGAATAATAGACCCAAGGTACTTAAGACTCCCTCTCCTAGGGATGACATGCGAGTCCAACCTCACTTCCCCTTCCCCTCCTTGAGTCTCGCCACTGAACTTACACTCCAAGTATTCTGTCTTGGTCCTGCTCAACTTAAAACCTTTAGATTCCAGGGTCTACCTCCATACCTCTAATTGCGCGTTCACACCGTCTCGCGTCTCGTCAATCAATACAATATTATCTTTGCTGCATAATACGATGAAAGGGAAATACTACATACTAATAAAGTTTACTTTGAGTGTTTTTAATTTTATTTTTGCTACAATATTAGTGTTTGATCTTCTAAAAATAAAGTCTTCACTTTCAGTACATATACTGATAGACATAATAGCAATTCACTTCATTTCTGCTGATTGCAGGTGAAGCACTCTAGAACATCATCTATAGAGTCCTACAAGAAGGATTTTCATGAATTGATAAGCACTTATTCCAAAAAAGGAAAGACTGGCAGGAAAAGTAAGTTAATGCCCACAAATCTGGAGGAGAACTCTGAAAGCTCTGATAATGCTTCCAATGGTTGCATGGATGAATATAATGGAATCTATGAGGTTAATGTAGATGGCGTTGAGGGGGATGGCGTTTCTGATAGTGAAGACAAAGTACGTTCTCCTGGGAGATGTGGTTTGGCTTCTCTGAAGGATAGACAATTGTCCGTTGAGTATCTGGAAGATGAGTGTGATCTTGTGCAAGATGTTGATGATTTGGATGGTAAGACTCTTCTTTGGTGAAATATTCGCTTAGACAGTACATATCAAATTTAAGAGAGAATTTAATCGCACCCATCTTCCATGGCACTAAAGATTACACAACGAATAACTTATCTGTTACCAAAAGCCAGTGCAGAGACCTCAGGAATTTTTCTTGTGCAAATATAGAGAAGATTTAGAAAATTTTAATAGTTGTTACCTTAGTGTGGATTGAAATAAATCCTTTTGTTTTGTCTTATCTGCAGCAGTATTTTTATCTAAATTCTAAAGAGTTTAAGTTTCAATTCACACCCTTGTAGCAGCCACTGACAACCTTCAGCACACCGGTGCAAGATTGTTTAGTATGAGATTTCAAGAGGGTAAAATAACCTTAGCTTGAGAAAGAGATGACTTATCCTTGATAGTTTGATAGAAGAAAAGCCTCACACTCTTATCGTACGATATGACTCGCCCATTATGTGATCAAAAGAATACATATATTGAATGTATCTCATCCTTCTTGTTCCTGCATTCTCAAACTTGACCTTTTTGTTTCCTAGATAGTCTCTTCGTTTGTTAAAACCGAAAAAATGAAATGCCTTTTGTGTGTTGTCGTCAGCCTCTAACTGGCTATGTAGCAGTGTAAGTAAAGACTTTATCTTCTTGAGAGCAAGGTCTAGGGTAGTTTTTAGGAATTTCCTTGATTTCTAATTGGCTACTTAAGATATAAATTTGAAATTTGAAATCATAAGCTTGGTCATTTAATTTTACTTTATGAACTCAAATAAATTGTACTGATGTTGAAATTGCTGTAGTTTCTTGTGGTGAATTTAGTGGAAAACTACCAACAAAAGGTTTAAGTGGTTTTCTATTGCCCAAAGCACCTGATCTGCCCAGTAAGCCAGAGGAAAGAGCAAAGTTTCAGCATGAACCGTTGGAAGATGGACCAACAATAATCTATGTCCCAACTAGGAAAGAAACGTTAAGTATATCAAAATTTCTTTCTAGATCTGGGATCAAAGCTGCTGCTTACAATGCTAAGGTAATTTTTATATATATATATATATATATATATATATATATATATTTCTTTCAGTTAAAGCAATTTATCTTGCTCTCCCTCTGATTTTGCATGGTCTCATATCATCTAATAAATGCTCAGCTAGGGGCATGTCTTTAGGACGCAAAATACCATAGTTATGAAAGTGGACTAAAGGTGATCATACTCGTGCTGTAGCCTGTTCAATTGATTTGTTTCCATGTAATTAGTATATTTTGTCCCTAGTGATATTATGTGTTCCATGCCTTTGCTTGATTAAAGTCGATATCTAACAATGATGCTACTCAGCAATGAAGTTGGTTGATATACTCCTCTTTTCCTATTGAGAAGTAATGTTTTCTTTTGCTTTCTCTTTTCAGTTGCCAAAATCACATCTAAGGCAGGTGCATAAGGAATTTCACGAGAACACGCTGCAGGTAAAGTTTAGGTGACGTGTTAGATGAAGTAACGATAGTAAATATTCTTTATCTTATTTAACAGGTTGTTGCATAGAAGAGTGCCTTTGATCGATTGCATTCGATATTTAACATTTTAAAGTGACCTTTGCATATTTTCTCTTTCATGAAGAGCGTAAAGAAATGGACCTTGAGCCTAATTCAACTCAAAAGCTAGCTTATTAGGTGAGGACTGTCCAAGACTATATAAGGACATCAAAAACCCAATCCACAATGGATGTCGGACTCTAACAGTCTCCTCACGCTCAAGACTTGACATCTAGAGCTTGGACAATATAATATGGGGGCCAACATCGGTAAACCTAGAATTCAGATGGGTTTGGTTCTGATACCATGTAAAGAAATGGACCCTGGGTCTAATTTAACCCCAAAAAATGAGCTCGTGAGGTAAGGATTGTCCAAGACCATATAATGAGACCTAAAACCCCATCCACAACCGACGTGGGATTCTAAGAAAGAGGAAATTCATTGATGACCCTGTCTGTTATCCTCATTTATTGTGAGAGTCAAGTTGGATAGATCTCTATGTTCTCATCTCATATTCTTTGTACTTATTTATCTTAACTTGGTCCAAATATATATAGGAGTCATATGCCGTCCCCACTAGTTTGGGATTGGGGCATAGTAGTAGTAGTAGTTGTTGTTATTGTCGTTGGTCGAATTAGTTGTTGTGTTGTCCATATTGTCTGACACAATATACTGATAGAGTTCTAGTATAAGATGATTTTTTCATTTAGAATATATTTGTGGTATCTAGATCTAGTTTTTGACTAGAATTATGTAATTCCTGCTTCATTGCTTATGAAAAGAGAAAAAAAATGTAATAATAATTTGTTAGTTAACTTCTCAAAAAGATGAAATACTTTTATGAACTGTCCTTTTACAACAACAACAGCAGCAAACCCAGTATAATCCCACAAAGTAGGGGTCTTGGGAGGGTAGTGTGTACGCAGACCTTACCCCTACCTTGTAACCTGTCCTTTTACATCGTCATTAAATGTTATTGATAAGATGCTACAAATAAGTCTGCAATATTGACTATTCATGAGTCTACAAAGAAGTCTCTGGGATAGAGGAGAATGCAAAAGGATAAGAAATCTTTTTTACTTTTCTTTAGAGAATGATCCTTGTAGTCCTGTTTTCACAATGTCCAGTGGCATGATTAGAATGTCATCCTAATAATTATTCTCTAGAATTTATGAGCCGATATTTGGGATAAATAATACAAGATACTTCTGGACAAAACTATGTTGAAGCTGGGGTTTAACATTGGCTGGCAGATCCTGGTCTGTCTCCGAAACACCTATTAGTTATTTCATTCTGAGAATTATTTGATTTGGTTTTCCTGTTATATACTGTTGCGTATTTCTTTTCAACACAGCCAATCATTTTTTACTATTGACACTTAATATAATAGGATAAATCCACTTTAACTCTTAGATAAAATAGTATCTTCAAGATATCCTGACAGCAGATAGGCGATTAGCGTGAGCTTAAAGTTGTTTTGTTTATGTTTATATTGCACACTTATGTATTTATTAACTGAGGCTACACATTGTACTTTCTGATATTCAGGTCATTGTCGCAACAATCGCCTTTGGTATGGGTATCGACAAGTTGAATGTGCGAAGGATCATTCACTACGGCTGGCCCCAGGTGCAATTACTCAGCTAGATTGCCTTAATGTGTTTTGCGTAACTACGTCTATTTACTCTTGTAAACAAACTACATGAAAATCTAGACCATGTTCCCACATCGTCTTTCTTCTTTAGCAATGTAATCATACATATTCTCATAGGTGTACTTAAGAAGCATTATGCTTCAAATTCAGACCTTGTTCAAACTATTTTCTCTTCGTTGCTTTTGGTGTTACATGGCTTAGATTTCAGTTATGCTTCTCGGTCAAGATATTGTAACCTTTACAGAGTCTGGAGGCTTATTATCAAGAGGCTGGTCGAGCTGGTCGGGATGGAAAAGTAGCAGAGTGTGGTTAGTTAATTTGATTCTTTTTATTTGTGGTATATTTGTCATAATCTTGAGATCGAATCTTTATACTTCAAAGAGAACAAAATTGTATCCAATGGATATAGCACTGATGGTAATGTTTGGGAGGGTGAAATGAAGCAATTTTCCAACCCATGCATGAGACTCAGCTTCTTGGAGTACAAAAACAAGAATTAGCCTTAAACCAGTAAAAATCGAAAGTTCTATGGTTGAATTCAAAAGCTTAGGACATAATTTCTTTGAATGCTTAAATATTGTGAATTTGTAGTTATGGAAAAAGGTCATGAAACCTCTACTTCTAGTCAAACATGGATCCGAAATTGATTCCACAGAGAAATATTGGTAGAATTACATGTCATTGTTCCACCTTTTCTAGTCGGTTTGACATTCTTATGAAGTGATTGACTTTTAAAATTTAGGAACTAATCCTAGAAGCATATCAAAATATGTTAAACATCATAGGGTCAAAATGGTTCTCATTAGGAAAAGTTAAATGAGTGAACGACAAAGTGTCTTCGTGAAGATACCTAGATTAAAAAGAAAAGTAAGACAAAATATAATTATGGCACACGGAACAATTAGGGAAGAAGTTGAAAAGATTTAGTGCATAAACTAGGAAATAGATATATGAAAGGAAATCTGACATTGTCAAAGTACTGGAATATGAATTGCTCATTATTGGTGAAAAGGAACCTCGTGCCTTCCCCTTGGTTTAGCAGACGTTATCCTGTAGTGCATTAAGGTGTGGTTTTGATAAATTTACACCAAATGGTTTCTTATTCAACTTTTATTATTCAGAAGAGCTTCACTTATCTGGTAGAGCTTGGACATCGGCTCCAGAGAGGCACTACATATATACTTAAGCTGTTTGATTCCTTCTGAAACAGTTCTATATGCAAACATGTCAAGAACACCGACGCTTCTACCAAGTCAAAGAAGTGAAGAGCAGACAAAACACGCATATAAGATGTTATCGGATTGCTTCAGGTGTAAGATAACTTGCCAATTGAACTGATTAGGGAGTACTTTGGTTTTCCATCTTATGTGTTGATTATGTTCAACAGATATGGAATGAACACTTCTTGCTGTAGAGCGAAAACACTTGTGGAGTACTTCGGCGAGCGCTTTCTTTTGGAGAAATGTCTTGTGTATGTCAAGACACACTGGCTATTGTGCTTTATCTTTTGTTCCTTACAAGCTGCTTCATGTCAAGGATGTATGCTTGTGCTTTTCTTTTAATTTTCTTTCACTTTCCCTTTTGGGGTGGGTGTGGAGCACGAAGAATGTCCACAGCACTGTTAATGAGATATTAGTGTGTTTGTAACATTTGACTCCTCTTAAGTTAGTCTATATATTGAGGTTTCAGGTAGTCTTTTTATCATAGGACATGCCACATAAAAGAGATTTTCTCTTCCAACACTTTGAAGTGAAAAATGACTTCCTATGCATGTAAAGGTTCCAAATGCATCCGATTGCTAATATCCTTTTCAATTTTCATGCTTACTGATGTTTGCCTTGTTTTTTGTCTTCTGATTAAAAAGTTAATTTCTGCTCGGGAAAGTACATATTTGTCTATAGGTTTTCCATACCCGCTATGAGTTCTCACTTTCTCAATTTATGTCTTTTACCTGGTACGTAATGCACAGGTGTGATATATGCATCAAAGGACCACCTGAAAGGCAGAATTTAAAGGCCGAGGCCATTATTTTCTTGCAAGTTGTTGCTACTCATTGTGTGAGTACGTCTGCCATCTCATATTGCTTGTGCTTCTTTGTATTTTGTCATCTCATTTTGACATTGCGGTCATTGTTCATCCTTTCTGGCGCAGAGAAATTTTGCAGACATCTCCTATGGTGGCGATGAAGGGAGACTTGGTGAGAAGCTAAACATAAAGGCTTTAGTCAGCAGAATAAGAGAACAGGTACTTATTCTGCTCAATGCCCTCTCTTCCCCTATCTCCCTCTCTCCCCCTCTCTCCCTCTTTCTTCCTCTTACACATGAGCATGCCCCATGAAAAATTCTCAGCGAAGGCCCTTAGAAAGCATGTCTACCAAGGGGCATGACAAAGAGACATACAAATTTTCCTTCAATTTGAATGAGCTTCTTGTCACTAATTTCTGGGATCTCTCTTGTACCGCCAACAGAGTTGCCTGGAGATATATTGTGTTTGTAATTTGGATTGCTCTTGAAGAGCCCTCTTCAAAATGTTTTTTGAATAATATGTAATTCTTTCTTTCTTTTTGGTGTAAAGCTAATTTGTCATACTGAAAATAGCTTTAACTTGTCGAGCAGATGTCCTTCAGCTGCATGTTACTCCTACTCTAATAAGGCTGTATTTAATTTTTCTCATCTCCGACGTGCTGCCTATTTTCCTTTACAGAGAACTTTTCCATCCACTCTGCATTAGTTCTGGTATAGCATACTACTTTAAAGTTACTCATTTTTTGAGAAAGTACTTTAAAGTTACTCGTGCAATCTATTCTTGTAAATCCTCATACTTATCAAGAGTAATCTATCTCTACTTTCGTATCCAGTCTCTCAACTAGCATATAATGTCGGCTCCACTCTTCTATTTTGTGTTCAATTAGTGTAAGAGGATAACAAGATATTTCTTTTATTGGAATAGATCTTTCTTTCTTGTTTTACAACATTATTGCTAATACTCTTTTGTATTTACCTTTTCCTATTGCAACTCTAATGTCATTTGTTTTCTTTATATTGTGTTGTAGTATCAGCAATTTAGTGCAAGTGACCTCTTGTGGTGGAGAGGTCTTGCTCGACTGTTGGAAGTTAAAGGATTCATTAGGGAGGGAGATGACATGGTAAGCTTTCTGCATAGTAACCATAGTTATTTCATATAAGGTACTAAGTTTTGGCACTATGCTTCTCAAATCCATCCAATCTTCATTTACTTTTACGGCCTATTTGATAGCTTCTCATTTTATCCTTTACTGTACTATGAGTTCAGTTAGTCATGCTGTTTTCAATGCTGAAAACTAGGATCTTAGAAACTTGTACTACGTGGCAAGGAGTGGAAACAAATACTTGGAATCCCTTTCTAGTTTGCTATTATTGGTCTAATTAATGTTCAGTTAGTTTGTTCATTTTTTGATAAGTCAAAAAGTTTCACTAATAAACATCAAGTTGATGTCAAAAAATAGTACTAGATGTGTGCGTGACTCTGCTGGAGTCATACATTGTCTTCCACATGTTTGACCATCTATCCATACAACATGGTGCTTTTCCTCATACCACAAATTACAAGTGGTGGAAAAAATCTTATAATACTTTCTACGTCATTCTCACTATTATGAGACATTCTCCTGTTCTGATCGTTCCATATACCCCGAAAGAGACAAGATGGTCTTGTCTTCCATGTTACCTTCCTTTCATTGTTGACCCTCTCCGATCTGGCGATCTCCAACTCGTATTTGTTTCCTCCACCGACCGTGATAACACCCAAGAGATGTAAATTAATGACAATGCAATGTTCCATAGTCATAAAGCCAACCTGAGATGCAACAAGAGATGCTTAGTATCTTCTCCAGATACTTTGCACATGCAACACCAACTCACAAATGTCCTCTCTGTCCGCTGTTATAATTGCATCTCGCACTACACACCCAACAAAGAAAGTTACTTTCTCCGGAAATTTGGTGTTCGGTGTTCCAAAACTTTTCACGCATCTTATTATCTCCCCTTTCTTTTTTTTTTTGATGAGGTAAAGGTTTCATTAATAAGGTACCAAGATGGTACAAAAAGTTACAAAAAACACCCCAAAACAACCATATCCTACATGCCTCCTAGTAGATCCAGAAACTCTAAAAACTGTTGTTGTTCCACTGATACACTGCTTTTACACCAATAAAACAAGTTGTGAACGGTATTTGGCACCCACCCCCCTCCATATCGTTTATCCCCTTCCTCATCCTCGGTTGGATAATTATATATTTTCTGAAAGTATAGTAGTATTGTTGTTAGAATTTGACATGTTCTAGATATGAAACTTTTATTTAAGAAAAGAGGGTAACGGTTTTGGGACAAAGCAAAGAGAATGTAGATGATTTTAATGGGACAGACGGTATTATGATAAGATTCTCTCATGAAAGTTACATTAGTTTTAATCTGTCTACTAAGAAAGATATTTAAATCCCCTTTTGCTTTGTTCATTCTATGTTTGAGATTTGCTTGTTTTATCATCTGGTTCCTCTTGCTTGATGGAGAATGTAGAAAGATAGAACTTGTCAAACGTGTGAAACTTAGATTGTAAAAATAGCTGTTGTTTAATTGGAACTATGATTTTTGGACAATATTTGTATAATGCCAATTAGAAATAATTATAATATCTCTAACAGTGAATTTCTTCTGGGAGGGGGAAAATGTTTTCATTTGGTGCCTTATATCCCGTTTCTTCATATTATGTTGCATTTGATATCAATCTTGCACTGGAAGTATGTTTGTATAGTGGTCATTTTCAATGATACGGCTGATAATTTCTGGCGAATGTTACAGACACGCGTGCAGATAAAATATCCAGAAGTAACAGAACGGGGAAGGCAGTTCCTGAGTTGTGAAACAGAGCAGCCATTTCATGTTTATCCTGAAGCAGATATGCTGCTATCAATGAGAAGCCCCAAGTCTTATTCCAGTTTTGCTGAATGGGGGAAAGGGTGGGCTGATCCAGAGATCCGTCGCCAACGCTTGCAGAGAAAGCGAACATGGAAATCTCCAAGAAAACGAAAATCACGTAAACGTCAGCCTGATTGTAATACAGTTCGTGGAAGACTGACTGCCAAGCTATCGAAAAATAAGTGACACAAATGTGAACTATGAACTGTTCATAAAAATGTGATTTTGGCGATTTGATTATATATTTTGTTTCATTGAAACAATCAGCATTGTAACAACATTAAAGATTGGATTTGCACGATCCCATTCTTTATTTGTTCGTCTATTTTTTATGATTGGTGGATACTTGTCGGTTGTCACTTGTTTGCCTGTCTTTATCTTTTTATAGTCTAAACCTAGCTCCAAGCTTGGTAACGTAAGCGAAAATAAGTTTTTTTACAGGGAGAGGCGGCTTATGCATTGTTTTCCCCATGAGTGAAGAGATACAATTCTCCCTTGAAATGTACGAGGGCCTGAAGCAAAACGGATCCTCTATTGGATAAACAAGGGGAAAATATATTTATGAGCAAGTACAAGTATGCTTTAAATCATATGATGTGTTGTTTTGAGATATTATTTCAAACGATGCAAAAGATTTTTAGAATCAAATAAGCCTTCCTCTAACAACAAAACTTTGAATAACAAACCAGCAAATTATAGAGAAAATAAAGTATGGTTATCCAGTTATTGGTAATCTCTAGTGAAGACATCATTAGTATATGGACGGTGTAGTTGGAAGGAGTAGCAATTAAGAGATGTTTCTTATTGTGACATGTGTCGTGATTTTATGAAGAGCTATTGAAAGTAGGAGCACAATTGTCACGGGGAGACTAAGGTGGAAGGAAGGATACTTGCTGCCACGTGTCATCAACCTTTCCAAGTAGCCAATAGTATTGCAAAATCTCTTTTGAAATATCTTTCATTAATTATAAACTCTTATATTGCCTACAATTGCAACTATTCAACAAGCAAACGTGAATAGAGGAGCCTTCGGAGCGTTATTTTGGACAATTTTGCTGCATTTATGAGGTAGAGTATTTTCAACGCATTTTAGCCTATGCTTTCCTAGTTCTGGCGAGCAAACTGACAAGTATCTTTCAATCTTCTCTCGGTTTTTGAATGACATTGATCATTCACCTTTACGCAACGATTCTTATTATACGACTGAGAGAGTGAGAGTGATGATTTCAGACTCCGTGGCGGAGTTAGTGTATATATTATCGGTTTAGCTGAACTCATCCAAATTTTGAATATTTATCTTAAGAAATATTCATTACGAAATTTATAGGTATGTTCAAATTCTCACTTTAAAGTTTAATAACTTAAAAAGACTAGAGTTTCGATCCCTATAACTTCAAATCTTGGCTCCACATTTATTTTCATTTGTAGAAAACGCACAAGGAAAGATCAAGCTTTTAACGTCAATTCTCCTACTAATACATAGGGAAATCCTTGACTTAAAAACTATTACTATTATTTTCTTTTTTGGCATCTGATGTGCCTCGATCTCCACATTTATATTAGTCTTATATTAGGATTAGGATAGTAATAGCAAGAAGCGCATCTGGTGTAGTGGTATCATAGTACCCTCCCACGGTACTGACCGGGGTTCGATTCCCCGGATGCGCACATCTAGCTACTTGTTTTTGGCTTTATTCCTTTTCCATTTCGTTTCAAATTCCCGGTCCCAAAATTTTTCCTTTTCTTAAACTTTTTTGTTCTCACTTCCAAAAAAGTTATATTTACCCCAAATTCTACCTTCACAAACAGGGTTGTGCATTAGAATGAATCAGACAAGCTAAGCAGAGAAGGAATATAACTCACTACAAGGAAGTGATATGAAGTTATGCCATTTTCAAGTTCCCCCTCAGACACGTCAAAGAATCAATACCCCCTTCTATTATTTTTATTCAACAACTCTTGGTACTTTTGGTGAATTCTCAAGAGAGCCTCAATGTATTGTAGTAACATCACATTTGCAATTATAGGCTTCTCAGCATCATTCTTGCTATACTTGCCAAACTTGAGGAAAAGGCAGAACAAGCAAATTGCAGCCGAGAAATTCCGAATAATTACAGAAGCATTAGAACAAGCAGAGGACAGAGTATTAAGGTATGAAGAAAGACAGGACAAAATACTAAGCCAAATTTGTTCTCACTACATTGTAAGTCAAGAAATATTAGATGCACTTGTAGTTGCTCGAGAGGCCATGAATGAAGCATTAGAATTTGCTATTACTCTCAGAAATTTACAGCTAGATGTTATTAGATTGTACCCTGATGAAGGTGTTCCTAGGCCTGTTAAGTTACTTGGAAAATCAAGAAGACAAAGGAACAATTAATAGAGTACTACGTCATTTTTTCTTTCCTTTTAGATGGCCAAGACAATTAATAACATCAGAGCCAAAAAAATTGATATCTGTAGTATTTGCTTTCTTTTCTTAGCAAGAGATCTGCAATAACCCTTTTGATTTCTTTACATCATGAACAGGAAATTCTCGCGACTATCTTATCATATGTATATTGTTTACCTTAAAAATGGATAACAATTGAATTTATACGTGATTTAAGGATATGTGAATTAATTCAATACAAGTGATCAATGACGTCAGATAAGCGAATTAAATATAACATAAATAATCAAACCAGTTGTGCTATTAATTCAATACAAGTGATCAATGGATCAGAGATTCACTGTTGATACGGGTCGAGATTCACGCCGTGATATTCGGTTGGGCGCGGATATCATGGCCCTTCGTTAGTCGTGTACAACTGTTTGGTTATGCTTTCCGAGGTCTTGGAGCACGAACCAGATTCATGGGGCGTTGTCTCGATGGCCCCGATGGTAAGCGCTTCGTTCGGGTACGAGGGGTTCTTAGCTTCGATTCCGATTCCATGTAGTTATGTCCTTGCTTTGTTTGCCTCACCGGGGAATCAGGATGCTCACTAGACCCGGTTTTACCCGTATACAGATAGTTCCCTCGTTTTTCAGAGAGTAGGTTTGTCGAAACGATGAGTAACGATAGACGAACTCCAGTTCCTTCCTTCGTATGTCACAACCGAAACAACGAAGAAGTCGAAACGTCCCATCAATCGTGTCGTTCTGACTTCGAACACGTGTCAATCATCGACTGGTTGTTTTCGAATGCGAAGCGTCGCGTACTTCCCCTATAAAAGCTTCTACCCTCTACTCTTTTTCTACTTTCCGATCAAGCTTCCACCTTCGAATTTTCTAGCTATTACTAATTTCTTTCAAACCTTCATATCTTCATCCTTGATCTTCAAATTCTCATAATTGTTCTTAGATTTTTACTCAGATTTTCTTCAAATCATCATACTCTGCTCTTCAGCCTTCAAGATTGTTTCTTCAAACCTTCATATTTTTTCTTTAAATTTTCAAACTTTACCGGATAGCAATGGCTAAAACATCCAAATCAGTTCTTCAACAGGCTACCTCTTCATCTTTCCATCCGGCCACAAATGCTGAGGTGGCTTCTTCCGAGGAGGCCGTTCCCGAAGTGGCTGCTCCCGAGGTGGCTACCCTTGAGGCATCTGCCCCCGAGCCTCCCATGAGAAGCTTTATATTCGGGGGTTGCTCCATCGCGGACGACTTCAAAGTCGAGAAGCCCTCATCTAAATAGGACTGGGGTGAAAGAGCTTCGAGGTATATATGCTCCGTTACCGAAGATGTCCTTCCCGTGGTCCGAGAGGACTGTAAATGGGAATCCAAGGACGTAGTAGTCCCCGGGCTTGAGGGTGATATTACCATCCACGCGCGGGGGGGGGGGGGGGGNTACTAAGGAAACACTACCCACATTCCAGGTAGACTGTAACTGGAAGAGGTAGGAGTAGGTCGTCCCCGGGCCTAATGATGACATCACCACTCACTTGGAGGGGTACTTAAGTGTTTACACTTACCCCTTCACTCTAGGTCCGGTAGACCCGGTGATTTTGACCTTATGTAAGAGGTACGAGGTGTGCCTCGGGCATATCCACCAATTTTTTGGAGGATCGTGATCCTCATTTGTTATTTTCTGAGCCACATCGAATCATCTCGGTTCACCCTCGACTATATGCTCCGTTTATACAGTCCCTGAATTTTCTAGGGGGACTGATCAAGCTCACTCGCCGGGCCAGCAAGGACTCTTTTTCGAGTATTGACGAGGATCGAGACCGAGGCTGGCAGGGGTGCTTTGTTCGGGTGAAGACTGAAGATCTGATCCCTCCCGAGTTTCTTCCGTTCCCTGAGAAGTGGAATGCATCTCGTAAGTGCATTTTTTCCTTAAGTGTCAATTTTTCTTCATTTCCTTTCTCATCATTCATATTCGTGATCGTGCAGCTGTTGCCCGGGTTCCCAATACGGTCCCTCGACTCAAGGAGTGGATCGAGGGCATCTACCAGCAGATGTCGTATTTTGAGCGCTCGTGACGCAAGATTTCGAGGGGCCGATGGGAGTCCCGTTCTCATGGTAAGGTCTTTCCCAGAACGGTTACTATTATGCTCCGAATTTTCATAATGCCGGCCTTTTCTTTTTCCTTCACAGGTTTGCCTAAGACCACTGAACTTAGGCCGCTGAAGGGGGCGAGGACGCGTCCCTACTCATTGACTCCTCCGTTATGGGATAGTCCGGGGTTGCCGCGGGGGAAAAGAAGAAGAGGAAAAGAAAGTCTTCGGGCTCCCCGGGTTCCGAGGTGAAGCCAAAGAAGATGGTGGCTCGTAAGACTAATAAGAGCACCAACTCCCGGGTTCCGGATTCATACTCGCTTCTCCGACTCAGGGACGAGTCTGAAGAAGAGACATTTTTGTTGCCCACGGATCGACTTCTCCCGGGGAGCAGGCGACAACCGAAGAGAAGAATCGTGATGTCGAGCCCCTCCAAGTCCGAGAGTCCGAAGTTGAGATGGAGGCCACGACCTCTCAAAAAACTGATCCTACCTTGAAGGAGGCTACCGATGTGATTGACATCGTTGAGACACCCTCCTACATCGATTCTATGCTCGACGAGGCCCAAGCGGGCAAAGATAAATCAAGTGAAGGAGCACAAGGTGCAGATGACCCCCTCCGTTCCTTCTTTGATGGCGTGGACATGTCCAATTTGGATGATTTTACCGGGCTGGGGGACTTGGAGGTCCCAAAGAAGGATGCACCTTCAGAAGTTGGCGGGCCGAGTTCGAGCCCAAAATTGGTTAATCAGTTTCCCGCTCCGAGTATGGACCCTGGTTGCAAGAGATTAGTTATTGTTACTGTCCCGGAGGATGCTCGGGTTCTATCCGCTCTCGTAGGCGTAACGAGCTACCTCCGATGCCTGGTGACCGAGGAGG